ATGATATATATTGACCTTTATTGTTTTGTTTGTTTTGAAATAAATCAAAGTTTACTTGCAAACTCTAGCATTGGCGGATCCAGGGAGGGGGGGGGGGGGGTAGTACGACGTACAGTTCCCACGATATCAGTGGAAGATTTCAAATAAAATTACTAGCGTGTTAATTACAAACAGCTTAGTGTATCATTTACAAGCGTGTCAATTACAGAACAGAGATTCATAAATGATTGTGGATTTGTAAAGAGTGGACCTTGTAATATACCCCTTTTTCGCGCGACGAAAGCTCACCGCCCTCATGTATTGAATATTCACTAGAAAAAGAGCCAATCACAGAACCTTTTTCATGAAAATGCCTCTGTGTAGAAAGAACGGATGGGAAAAAAGTGAGTCAGATTGAAGTGTGTCAGGTGGGTCAGAAAGAAGTGGTACAGTAAATGGAAACAACATTTTATCTGCGTGACTCGAGTCCAGTTCAACTTCGTGAGTGAGTAAACGACGAGGTGTACACGACCTTTTGTATTATGCTTAATCACTATCCATGTATTGTTTTTATCAAAATCAAGGTTTTGACCTAGATCTAGAAGAACTCAAGTAAAGTTTACCCAAACAATGTTACATGTAATGTCAGATAGATGTTTTAAATGTGATTTGAATAGCCTCATTCGGGGGCCCGTTCGTGTGGACGGAAATTTGGGGGTTGCGCGATCAGTAGAGAAACCGCGCTATGTGTTGGATAAAAACAAAGAACGGACTGAATCTGGACTAAGTACAGGTATGAAGTAGACCTAGAATCTAGTTGGGACTGAAACTATCTTGCTTTGCCTTGGAGATCTTTGACAAAAATGAAAGTTGTCAACTAGTACTGTTAGATCTAGCTTAGAGAAGTTAGACCTAGAAATAGTAGGGTACTCGTGTTTCAATGCCAGGACCATTCAGGACACAAATTTCGCTTTCTGACTCCGCCGGTTCCACTTTTCATTTCCCCGTTGTCACGAGGCTGGTATAGGTCTTTCCAAATTTTAAAGATACCTTGTCCCTTTTGCAGCCAACATCAAATTCTGTAGAACTTTGCAGGAATTATCAATATGCCATGCATGTCCTATCTGTGAAATGTACACGTTAGCAATGTCCTAATATTCAAATTATGCAAGGAAACCCGTAACTTGCTAGCCTTCACTGTCAGACACTATTGAGTGACTGACTGTTTTTTTTTCTTCTTTGGTAATAACGTACATTTAATGAGCTGTAAAGGGTACATGAGCATTTGTCTACATCGATAACCCACTTCTTGTAATGGCCAAAATTAAACTGATTGAATCTTTGCGCAGCACAAAACACGAAACGTACAAAACGTACGTAGTCTGAAAATCAGACTATTACTTTCTGACTTGGTAGCACTTAAGTCGATTCGACAACTAATAGTCGTTATTTTCCTACTTAAAGACATTTTAAAGCCCCCCCCTTTTTTTAGGGAAGTTCTTAATTAATATTATCTTTCAAATGCCGTTGGAATTTAACCTTTTCATTTTGGGGCCTGCAAATGGGACATAGTACCTTTAAGTCCCTATAGACGGCCTATTATGGTCAATGCTGAGATTCGTGGTCTGCACTGTGGTCATGGCTGTCATCACACAGTTCGTGCGTTGTACACACAAAAAATGTTATCATGACAATGACGATGACGATGGCAACGACAATTATGTGTATGTGTGTGTATGTGTGCGTGTGTGTGTGTTTGCGTCTCCTAACTTTGTAATTCATTATATTAGCTTATGCTTTTTTCCCAAAAGATTTAATGATTTACTGTATTTAACCAATATAAAAAGCTTTTTATATACGCTTATATGATGACGCTACTCATGCAATTCTAGACTGTTCTAGATGCCTAAAAGGCCGTGTAGCTTGGCAAATACTGGTTAACGCCATCTGCGTCTTCTTTTGAACAACTGATCGTAAACGAATGGACTTGATTAACGGCAGTCAGCGACTTAAGCTCTACATGGTCAGCGTTCGCGAAACAGACCGAAGTTCTCTCCACATTTCGTTTTCGCGTATGTTGCAGGCACGTAATTGCTGCGGTCGCGTCGTTCGTCAGTGTCGCCCGTAGTCGAATTATAGCCGATTGGCCCCGAGTCAGGCCACGGAAAAGACACGTAGTCTCGTCAGTTTACACTCCCTTTAACTGATATAGTTCACTCATTTGTTTATATATATATATATATATATATGTATTATATGGGCTCCAAATGCTGTCAGTGATTGACAAAGAAGTTTGTGTCCTTAAACTTTTTGAACTAATAATAATTATAATCTGTAATGTCTTCTTTAATAAGAAGAGAAAATTTGAATCCAAGGCGATCGGAAAAGATTGATGGTCGTGTAAATCGATGAAAAATGAAAAAAAAATCAAGAATATGCATAATGTTATACGTCATTTTAGAAAATATAACCACTGATATATCTCCATATCACAAAGCATATCAATCAAAAATATGCAAATGTTGGGAATACAGTTTAGGTGCGATCCTATCTCCAAGCATTTTGCTGCCCACTGTAATATCAGACAGCGTTGGAAATGTAAAAACGGCTCACGTTACCCGTTAAAGTAACACGGAGAGACGGTAAGTAGGTCAGATGCCTCGGCTGCCAGTCAATGAGCATCAGGGTGCAAAGAATTGAACAGTTTGTGTTGAATGTTCCATGGGGAAGTATGGTAGTCGAGTGGTTTAAGGCCTTGGCTTTATATGCAATGGTCATGGGTTCGATCCCCGACATGTCCCTAGATGAGGCATTAAACTAAATATGCCACTCCAAACCCAGGAGGGAATTGGACCTGGTAGGACGACGAACACCTTTGTATTAATAATCGCCATTTGCCCTCACGGTGACCATAAGGTAGGGATACTCCCCGGGAGTGGACATGGTGCACATTGTGTGTAAATTAATCCGTGGATGGGGAAAATATCTGTTAAGTGCTTAGAGAGGGTATTTCGTATTAAGCGCTATATAATTGTGGATTTATTATTAACATTTTCTTGAAAATTATTATTATTGGTAAATAATTGTTAATTATTGACACCAGTATTAAGCGCCTTATGAATATTGTTTATTATTATTATTATTATTATTATTATTATCATTAAATTGGTAGCAGGGTAGTTGCGCATTGGTGGAAATCCCTACGCCCTCATATTACTCAACTTTTTCTACTAGAAAATTCATGTTCGTAGAGTGGAAAACCACAAAGCATGCATAGCGCTTTCAGACATTTAATTTCAAACGTTAGATTTGCTTTTTAAACTGAGGATCCTAACATGCGATTTGCTTTCTACCCTTAGATAAGGTCTTGAGTAATATTGACAACAATAAATATTTGAAGAGTTAGGGCAGTTAATTACCACCCCCACCCCCCCCCCTTAATCTAGGTAGGAGAAACGATCACGTAACTTTCCGTAAGCCAATAATATTCCAGGCAATAAGGTAATTAAAGTTTCAGCTATTTTAGTCCAAACCCAGGACATAAAGATCTTGTTTTCGAAGTACTTGACCGCACCCTACAAATATTCACATCACCGAAAACGGTCTTTTCTTTTCCTTTAAAAAAAACTGTTTTTAGAAAAATGGGTTTCAGTGACTTTGTTTACATGAAAACACATCAAAATACCAGGATAAAAATAGTAACGTAAGAACTTGTTTTTACCCTCGTATGGACACATGATACAACACCCTGTTTATTTTCTTCCCATGTTTGTTTGTTGACAGATATTCCTTTTTCAAGGAAACGGAAATAACCTGGGACAGATGATAGTCTGTTGATTCAAGTAACAGCCATTTATTTTTATTCTGATATTTCCCCTTCTTTTGCTTCTTCATCTTCTTTTTCTTCTGTGTAGGTCAATGTTATTTTGACACTCCTCATAATAAGAATGTACAAAATAATCAGTGATGAGACAGCTAAGGTATCATGTTTACTTGATTCTTAATCCGAGGGTTGAGGGATCGAATTTCCGCACGGCACTAATGGCCTTTGACAAGACATTACGTAACTCTTCACCAAGGTGTAAATACTTACCTGGAATTGCACCGATTGCACGGCCCTACGGAAGAACAGCATCAATATTTTCACTTTAATTCTCAGTTTTATCTTCATTTCATTACTATTAATATTAGCATTGGTTTTATTAAAAATTATAACAACTTTATATGAGTATTAATATAACCTTCAGTAGAACTAAACCTTCTATTTAATACATCTTGGACGCAATAAGGGTGCATCGCTCTGATGAAAAAAGGTGCAAAATCCTTGTAGTACAAACACCACCTTCTGTAGATGATAACTAGTTATATAATATGTCAGTTCTCATTCTTGCTACCGAAAGTAGAACGTTCTTTCGCGGGGGCGTTTTCCGAAGCAAACAAATACTCTTCACACCACTGTCTCTCTACTCTCTTTCAAATTCTAAAATCTAAAATTTAGATTACAAATGCCATATAGAATGATACCGTTTTGAAGAACTATCTCTAGAAATGATGGAGAAAAAGAAGATGAACTTGCTTCGGGCATTCAGGGATACATATCAAACGCTTGTAATTATGACATGGCCAAGGTTTCATATCTATCATTTCCCTTTGTTCTTTGATGATTGAAATTCTTTGCATAATCTCAAATCTCACTTCTTATGTTAACAACGGATAGATCGAAATCGTCACTAGACCCAAACTAAGTAAATGGACACATGGCAATCTGTCTTTGTATGACACCTGCGGATGCCATTCAATCAGACTCGATAACCAAATATTAACCCCGCCCTTTCAATCACCAAGCTACTAGCCACATTTTCATAACTAACTATATCAGGAGAAAAAAGACAGAACGAGAGATAAAGTTGAAGGCTGCTCTGCTTACAAGATGTTTACCATAACCTAAAGATATAGTATAAAAGTGGCACAAATGGAGCCCACTCTCCCATTTGTTTGTTATCTTTGGTTTCTATCAGACCTATTGTTTGCTTTGTATGTGTCCTCTTGCTTAACATCGGTGCAGATGGTATTGACGCCTCAGATGGGCCATACGCGCTACATCTTAATGGCTTTTTCATTGGCCACTGGTGAGTTAGCTTTAATACCTATATTTGTATTATTGAAAACAAGTTGATTGGTATTACGTAAGTGGAAGTGTCATGGTGTAGTGGTTCAGACTCTCGTCCTTCAATCTTAAGGTCGTGAGTTCGAATCCCTCTCCAGGACGTTAATGTCCTTCAGCAAGAAATTCATCCGCATTGTGATGCACTCCACCCAGGTGAAGAAAATGGGGATCTGGTAGGAATTTATTTCTTCAAACGCAGAGCTCATAACAGCTGCTCTGCTAAAGCCATGGTAATTATGCGGCATTTTTATAGAGCGCTTAGAGAACTCTGATAAAGTAAGTGTTAGACGCTATATAACCACATATAAGTATTGTTACGTAATCCAAGAGTATCAATAAATGACCACATATTATACCTTTTTGCCCTGAACTCATTAGATATGTGCTGTCCGATTTCGAATTTCTATTCCTTTCTGCGTTCTACTTGTTTACTCTGACCACGCTGATGAGTGCAAAACAATAAGCTTTTATTAACTAATATGTTCTTGTTATTGTATATAGAGAGATACGCTTTAAAGTGACTCGGTAACATTGTGGAAGGTTGATAAAAAAATTGCTTAATTTTTGTATAAAATGTTACTTACTATATTCCTTCTACTATACTAACCCTCTGACATGCAAAAAAATCCTGAACAAATTCTCAAACCACAAAGATATCTATGGTTTTCTTTGAAGGCGTCGATGTGAGGCACCCTCTAACAGTAATTAACAGTAAATTCTCCCAACCATTTTTGAATTTTCCCAACCGTTTTTCCATGAGAAAAATACATAAAACAGGCTATAAAAATCTGTCAACACTTAACTGTCTAGAATGGAATGTAGAGCCATTTTATTGCTTTGTGACGATTTACATTCTCCTAAAATGTAATTAAATTGTCCTTGTCTTGATGCTGAACAGGCTTTGACAAGTAGCAGAATAGAAGTAGAATAATATAGTTGGGAGAATTAAGGAATCGATCAGATCAGTTTTTCCCAATGTGTACCATGAATAATGATCCGTTTTCACTCGAATTTTCAGGTTATCTTTAATTGTACATCTAGCATTGAAGTCACTACCTTAGCACCACTATCTCTCATCTGAACAATGTTACAAAGTCCCTTTAATCACATCATATAATTCACCACATAGGAGAAATATATATCTGCTCTCCGATACAAGAATGTGTATGTTCTATGTTTCTTTTAGTAAATCTCAGCTTTTGCTCGTCTATCAGTTGGATGCAATGATCAGATATTCTTAATATAAGATATTAGCGGTAATGCATGATACAAAATGTATTGGACAAATGTACAACTTCAGTTTTGCAGAACAGGTATTACATTTCTTAAAGGAATGCAGCAAAAGCATATCCTTTGTTGTGTGAGGAAACATGATTGTGGATCGTTTAAATAAGATTCTGATGTTATTTTAAATATAAGCTTTCCTTTTGTATTTGTTTAATGCTCATTCAAGTTCAACCGATGTATCCACACTATTTGCAATCTTTAATGGCCGTCAAATTTTGAATTGTGACATATTGAAACCTACCGCTAAAGTCGCAGCTATGTTCAAATAATAATCTATAACATAATAATAATAAATATAATAATAATATGATATAATATAATATAATAATAATAATATAATAATATAATAATATAATAATAATAATATAATAATATAATATAATAATAATAATAACGTTTTATTTACCCAGGGTAGCCACTTCAGTTATGAAACTGTTCTCCCAGCGGGCCCTGCATAACATAATATGTTATTACTGCCCTTCTCCAATCTAATATGCTGAACGCCTGCCTAGCTAGAAGGCAGAAGGTCCCATTGTTATGAGTCTTTGGTATGACTCGGCCGGGGTTCGAACCCACGACCTCCCGTTCATGAAGCGGGCGCTCTATCCACTGAGCCATCATGTCCGGTCTGTTTAAATTTAACTATGATAATGGAAAGCTCAAAGGAATTGAAGGAGCATTAACAAATAACTATCTTTATATTTTGTTCCATAATCTTGCAATTAGGAATTGCAATCCACGTTATCTATCTGTTTTTTTTAAATAAGGAATGAACATAATAAAACAAAAATGAATAGAAAGTCCATAATGAATAATTTTGACGAATTGGTTTACATTATTCATGATGAAGATAATGATTTCTAGCTCACTAAAGATATTAAGATACATATTTTGATTATGCAGAACGCATTAGCGCAGATGACGCAAGGATTATCTACTTTCGTATAGTAGCAGAAATAAATGTGCTAGCTGAGAATCACTGTCTTCGTTTGTGTGATCAAATCTTACCTTGTTTTGAAGTAATCTTCCCTTTTCTCGACACCTGCTCCCACTCCCCCACATCATTTCTAGCAGGTTTAACATGTTTCAAACATAATAACAACAAATATTAAATCAAACGTAAAACGTAATATTTGATAGGATCTAATTTAACAGCAGGTAAACAAACACAAAATCAGATAATATTTAATTTGTTAAGTTGAGCAATTTTGGTTAAATGCTCCCCAACATGCCTATACCCCGCACATCTGATAAATGTTAAATTTTGTATCCCTAACAATATTTGTCATGAGGGACTTTTATGGAAGACTACACAAGGACAACAACATAATTATCATGAATCATGTCTCGCTAGTAAATGAAAATAATCTTTCTTTCAAAAGCAGAATTTTTATAATTCTTTTTTTTTGTTGGTTAATTTGATACTCTGTATCTTTGTTTTGTTTTGCTTAAAACTCTAATTGTTCCCGTTTATTATCTTGTTTAGTCACTACATACCTGTTATGGTATCCTTTTAAAATATTCATTTATATAGTTCTCAGAACACCAGCATTAGCCTCCTACGAAACCCGTCTTCGATTTTTAAAGGTAAGTCAATTTTTTTTTTTAAATCTGCCTCTTTTATTTAATTAATCTAAAATGTGTGTTTCGTGAGTAATAGCGTAATTTAATAAAGATTTCGAAATTGTAGAAGAATTGCACAGAAGGTTTGCAAACTCAATAAAAAGGAAAAATTAAAAAAGGATTTCAAAATTGCAGAAGAGTTGCACAGAAGGTTTTTCAAATTCAATAAAAGGCAACATTTGTAAAATAGTGAGCACAAGAATGATCAATATATTCCAACATATTTCTACTTCTTGGACGAATTTTCAATATCACTGTGGCGACAATTGTTGGCATAACTTCCTTTCCACCATTACATATCGGATTTTAATCAGAGTTTCATTATATAATAATTGTATTGCTAGTCCAAACCCATTAATGATTAATTTTCCCCCACAATTTACTTCATACTTTTTCTAAATAAGTTTTGCTTAAGAAAAATTGCTGACAAAATTCAGATTGAGTAACAACAAAAAAGATATTTGTAAGTGTTACGAAAGAATATTAACGTGGATATTTTTTTTCTTTTTTGCAATACCAAGGAACTAGGGTTTCGTTGAATAAACCAGATGATGCATGTTTTCATTACTTTATGATAGGACCTAGCAGCCTTTGTTGAGCCTGCTTATAATGCATCCTATGATATATAGATGCATACATCCTTAACTCGTGCACGGATACATCGCATGATGAACTCATTCGCATCTTGATCGGAGCTACTTTTTTATGTTTCTTCGAAACTGATCTTACTTTCATGGAATTTTTCATAAGAGTAGTTTCTTATCTCAATAATCATATAGTTTCCTATAAACTCATTGTTTGATGGAAATGCCTTATTCCCTTTCTCATCATTCAATAGAATATTATACTAGGTCATATACTAGGATGAGGTAAAGATAGCAATGAGCATTAAATACAATTTCAATTTTATTGTCATATTTTCTCTAATATCCATGAAACCAGCGTATTGAAGGCGAAGCTATTTCGAACCCCTTACAAAGTCTATTCGGACTCTCCGAATCGCAAATTCACGATGAGCTCAATGCCAGTAATCACGAGATCAGAGCAACTCTTCCACAACCTTTCCACGACATTCTCGACATCCCACCCGAAGAGCGCCACCTACCGGATGGAATGACTATCTATGACATCTTAGAGATGCCGGCAATGAGTGAAGCTAACCTGAGACGTATTGCGTTTTCCCGGGTCATGCCAACTCATATTCCGAACATCAGTGAAGAGAATATAATTGAGGTGACGGAAGAGGAACGTTTTCTCAAAGTCATTAAGGTACGTTATAATGGAGTACACGCTCGTCAATTTGGGAAATAATTTGTTAAAAGAAAATGATCGTCTATTGAGGGCACGAAGGTCGTTAACACGTACTCGATCAGAAAGACTTTCACAAATCAATTTCATATATTGTTGTCATGGTCGTACACTTAAATAAGGATGCACAAAGCTACTGATATTGCCTTTGATTTTACAGAAGGCGATTAGTGTTTCGGTTATTACGTCATTTGATTTACGTTCTTTGATTATGGCAGAAGCAAAAATAAAGTCATTGAATTTGTCTGACAAGGGTGTCTTCCAACTGACTACCAAGTTCGTTACTATGTTTCTGGCATAATTAAGTGAAGTCAATTAAATGACCTAACCGAAATTCGATTCGCTCCTAATATTCTGTGCAATTTTGTTCATATCTTTTTAAATACTACTAATAAGTTAATGTTTACACAGGGAAGCCTCGTGAGCTTCACTGTTCTTTTTTCTTAGAGCCTTGCAATTATTGTTACCCCAGCAGTTGCAAGGTACTCATTTACACGTGGGTGGAGATTAGCAAATTAATAACTGATGTATATGGATAATTGTCTGGCTTGTCAAAGGACACGAGTGCCGGGCAGGGATCTGAACCCTTAATCTTTGGATTGAGAGTCAATCGAATGAACCAATATACCACGACAATTTTCATACAGATGCCTTTCTGCTTGTCAGCAGAGAATATAATTAGAGATGAGGGTGTTGGTGTAATGGGCTTGTGTTTATTAGCCAAAAACGTCAATTTGTCTGGTTCGTGTTTACAATAAACGCCTTAATAGACGATTTCAATAGGTATTTAATGGTCAGGGTAACGATTCTTTGATGCCTTTTCTTAGGTAATCACTTACGATGATCCATATTATTACATGGGTGACATCCAACCTTTCGGTGTCCGAAAAAAAAATGTCCTTCACTGGGAAGAGTGCTTGATAAATTTGAAATCACTTTCTAATTCGCCTGTACTACTTTTAACCCAAGTTATGATATTATATTAGCTTACTTTCAATAATAATAATTTGTTATTAGTCATTTCATGAAATTATTTTAACAATATGGTTCTTTATTGATAGATACAATTTATATTCCCTCATTGAGAGCAATCTCTACGGCTCTTTAGATTGATCAATAGAATTCTGAGAAGATGTCAAGTCTATATATCAAGAACAGATCATAATTACTGTCACCATCATTATTTAATGAAAAGGCGTTATCAAAATTTACTCACAGTGTTTGGGCAACAGTGGATTTGAGATGACCTCAGAACCATGAAAAATTACAGAGGATCCGAACGTCCAAGAGCGTTCATCGTAAGATCATTGATTGTTCCTCTTTTTGTGAAGATGCGACTGAAATCAACCTGTTAAAGGTTTTTCGTGCGTCGTAGGACAAGCCATAATAGGAACTTTTAGATTTGCGTGGACTGATACGTGTGACGTCTATTCAAGGCAGTGCATTAAAAGGACGTCGATCGTAACAATCCCCATTCTCTACGTGCGAATCTGAAAGTCCCTAATGTTTATCCTAAGTAGCAACAGTTAATGTATGCAATTTGCATTCCGGCTATTGAAACTAGTTTATTTGTAACAGGTGAATACACAAATTGTTACATGGCACTTAAAGTGACTCGGTAACATTTTCGAAGGTTGATGAAAAAATTGTGTAATTTGTGTATGAAATGTTATTTATTATATTCCTTCTACTGTACTAACCCTTTAACAAGCAAAACACCTTCTAACAGTGATTAACAGTAAATTCTCCAAACCATTTTTGAATTTTCCCAACCGTTTTCCCTTGAAAATGAGTAATAGTAAAACAGATTATAACAAATCTGTCAACACTTAAATGTCTGGAAGGGTATATTGGTATATATAATGGTATATAGAGCCGATTCCTTGTTTTGTGACGATTTACACTCACCTAAAATGTAATTAAATTGTAATAATATAGTTGGGAGATTTAAGGAATCGATCAGATCAGTTTTCTCCAATTTTTATCGTTAATAATGGTTCGTTTTCACTCAAACTTTCGGGATATCTTTAATTGTACATCATGCTTTGAGGTCACTACCTTAGCACCACTTTCTCTCATCTGAACAATGTTACTAAGTCCCTTTAATGAGTTATGCATTAAATTGGATCACATTACGAAAATGGTCTATTCACCATTATTTCTTACTGTTTTGTAATTTCGTCTGGCTCATTTTCTTTTCCTGCATTTTCCCAGCGACAAGAGAGCGATTACGTTAGAGCTTGTGCAGCCAGCAGCGGCTGGGTCCAGGTCAACGACGGCATCACGGTGGAGAATGAATTCGTGGAGGTCAGCCGGGGACAGTTCTTCTTTCAAACCACGTGTTTGCACAATGGCGGCGCCTGCTACGGGTACCCCACGCCTTCGACCGCTACGGCAGATCGCCTCTCCAAGTGCACCACCCTCAAGTCCTGGGTCATAGCCTGGGCAAAGGTCAGAGGGGACACCGAGTTCGGATGGAGGCATATTGCGCTTGCTACCTGTTGCGCATGCGCAGTCAAAGGCAAGCCCGGAGACGGCATGACCGAAGAAGCGTCCGATGGGGCTTAGAGATTTCCTTTGGAACAATTTCATTTGTTTATGATGTTATGGAATTTTTTTAAAAATACAGTTGGAGTTGTTATATCTAGTTTGGAATATATCTTTATATATCTTGCATGGATAATCGGCTTATGCTAGAAGTGGTCATATATTTATTGAAATGCATTAATTTACTGTCTGTTGTTCATGTTCATGACTCTGAATTCGGTAGACCAGAGCCATCTATATACATGGGTCACAACATGGCGTATATTCTTTTGTTTTGTGCTTGCCCAACAAAGCAGTAGTCGCTATGTTGTGTCCAACCCCAACCGGGTTGGCCAAGCTCTGTGTATAGATGGCTCTTCGGTAGAAAGAAACACACTGCCCTCTACGAAAGTTTTACGTCATCACCGCTTTTATCAAGCAGAATAATACATGTATATTCGCCTGTTTGCATGAAGCGTTACTAATGCCAGTATAATAGCTTAACTGAAGCTCACTATTACCATTATAATTCATGAATATGCATGGTTGCTAATTTTCTCTGATGTATTTAGACAAAACTCTATCTTGCTCATTCAGTATTTCCTTCCTAGGTAATTTTCAACGACGTGGGGTTTAGGGTAATTACCATTAACAGCAGCAGCAGTAGCAGTACTAGTGGTAGTGGTAGTTTTGGAAGTGATAGTGGTAGTGGCAGTGGCAGTGGTAGTGGTATTATTATAAGTAGTAGCAGTACAATTGCTAATGATAACTAGAAATAAATTATTGTCAGTTATATAATATTATACTAATAGGCGCTGTTCAATGTTATCATTATTCAGAATGTAGCAGAGCTATTCTTAAAAGGTGCTCAGGCATTCTCCCCTTACGGATACCCATGGGTTGAGAGTGGCAAATGTAAATTAATATCTGTCAACATGATGTTGGTCCCCAGGTATAGATGCGAATCTGATACCTTAGGATCAATAGTCCAAGAGACCACGGCGTCTCTGATGATTTATAATTTGTGTGCTTACTATAAATTTTGGTAAATAATTTTTTTAGTCAGACAATGGTGCGCTTAGAGACACCCGTATTAAGCGACTAATACATGTTGTGTATTATTATTATTACATTAACAGATTCAAGGACACCTATCTAAAGCATTGGTTCTCATGGGAAAGTTACCGGGTATGAATAACATGTCCTATGTAATGAACTGCACTTTGCAACACTTGCTCCATAAGCAAAATTCATGATCATAAAATCCCCTTGACGCGAATACTCTCAAAGACACTGAAGGTATTTTTTCCGTGGCACAGCCTATTTGCTGCTTACGAGATTTTGTACATCAATTAATGGAAACCGAATGTTTTCCTTTGTACATTTAAAAATGGCTGACACTATCTTTAAGGTGCAAACATTTTGAATACTATTTTGTTTCCGCATGTGTATTTGTAACATTTTTTTCTCTCACAAATCAATTAAAGTTTAAATTTAACGTTTATCAATAATTCCCCATTAGCAATTCGTCTTTTAGTAAATCATTTTTTTAATTTATTTATTTGTGTATTGATTATTTCATGTAATCATGTATTTTTATCAATTAATTGATTAATTTGTTTATTCATTGATCAATTTAAATTCATTTGTTAAATTAATTGGTTTTATGATATATTTTTTTTCTTCTTCACATTAATCAATTTTGTTTTAGGCCCTTTAGTTATTTATTTTGGATGTGTCTATTTACTTTGGGTTTATATCATTAGAACGCTGAAATCCCCCCTCCGTTGATACCTTAATCATAAATCAAGAAATGTGAATTATGTTGTAACCAAGGTAATTGTGTCTTAATTCCTTATATTCAAGGGTGCACTGAGAGCTGCCTCACTTGTCTTGAACTAAATGTTAACCTGGTCAATGTGCCATAAGTACCAATTACCAAAAAAAAAAAATCGAATTACGAATGATCTATATCGAATTAATAAGTACGAGTAGAATCATTTTTACCATATTGTATCAAGAAGGGATAGTGCGTTTATTTGTCCGTTCCCCTCACTGGTCATCTAAAGTTGTTTAAGTAGGGATACGTACTCCAAAGGGAGCCTCGGGGGGGGGGGGGGGGGGGAGCACCCCAAAGTTCATTAGTGGTAGTAATTACACATTTTCTTATTTTTTAAAACCCATAGTTTGGATTAAACAAACATTTGTAGGAATCCCCTGCAGGGAAGGTAGACATAAATTTGTTCAAACGGGGTATTAACCCCCCCCCCCCCTCCCAACATCCATACAATACGGGCAAGTCAAACGTAAATAATCTTTAAATAAAAACAAAACTGTAGACAATGGTTTGAAAATAGTTGTTTCCATTTGAATTAAGGATATCTCTCCAAAATGCCTGATTACTCTCATTTTAATTTTATATTCTGATAGATCATGAATTGTAGATATTATTTCATACTAAAGTATTGGTATTAATTATGGGTAAAACGTTGTAGGAATATTTATTTATGTGAAGTATACCTACATTTGTTTTGGTAGCACCACCCCGAAATGGCCTACTATTCCAATAAATCCTATGTTCCCTGTGGAAAGGGGATTGGAGCTAGGTTCCTTATTGTGAAGCTCCTACTGTCATTGTAATTATGAAAATCCTTCTAATGATTCACCTTATTTTTGTTATACTGACATAATAAGCAAATAAATTCGACTTAATGATCAACATTAAGACTTATGTTTATTTTGCGCTATATAAATATTGTATTATTATTAATTTTAAAACCAGACAACACAATATGGGTAATAATTCAATATACATCAATCCAGGGAAATTTATTTGTAAGTGTATATACATAAAATATATGTGTTCTATATATATATATATATTCATATATACGCATATTTAAATCAAGATATTTAAATCAAACATTACTTGAAATATTACATCATCATACCATATTGTAGAAACAGAAACCAAATAGGTCTATTGTATTCACAAGATTTGAGACTCACATACAACTGCACAATTGTCAATGGTATCATAACATTCTTTTGTTCCTGTTTAACTAGCACATGAATATCTACAACTATAATGGAAGAATGCATGAGCTGTATACCATATCTTTAGCTTTAATATGAAAAGCATGAATCTTTCAATCCGAATAGAGGGGTAACAATGTATCAACAAGATATTGTACAAATATCTATTTAATCATATCGCTTTTTTTTGGGTGTGCATATTCTTTATGAAAACATGTTGAAGAATTTTATGTGCGAAAATTCAAGAAAGTAACTCGTTTAATCAGCACAGTAGAGGTTTTTCTTTTAAAAATATACACTGAGCTTTGTCACTGGAATTACATTTTTAGGCAATTTTTCCCGTGTATGGTATTAGGAATGATAACGTTTTATATTAAGATTAAAATGTAAGCCTCATTGAATAGTTACCGTTCACCATAAATAGAGAGAGGGGGAGGGTTAGACAAGCATTAACATCCAACATTTCTATTATTCCTAAGAGGCTATACCTACACTGAGACAAGCTGTATATTGATTTCGTTTTGTCTTCTCAATAATAGAAAATTAGCACCAGACTGTACAGCCTTAGGCTAAATTGCATATCAAAAGCAAGTAAAACATATTCAAGCTTTTTATTAAGCAAAGACAAACAATGACAGGAAAAAATACCATGTATACCTTCAGTAATCTTTGGCTTCATACATATACGGAAATAAATCAATCAACCTCTTATACCGTAGAATAAAGCCTTATCTTGTTACGTGTTCAGCGTTTTGTGTAATTTTACTCAGACCTATAACTGAAAGCACAAATTTCTACAAGTATAAAATATGTAAACAATTTTTCTCTCTTAAAAATAAACTCGTAAACAATACTGCCATATCTGACATGAGTTCTTGAAATTAAATGTCATGTTTTGCTCAATTTAGTGCGCACCATAAACTTAAAATAAAGAGCACCAAATCAGTATTTTTAAGCTTATTCCCTGTTGCTAAAGAATCTTAAATTTATATTTAATAATGTGAAAAATATAAACACGAATGTTAAGAAAAAGACGACGAAGATGAAATATTAAACAAGAAACACGATTTTTTTTTTATCGAGTATGTAAGAAAGAAATTATGTCTACTAAATCTTATTTAGGCCTACGTATCATCATCATACTTACTACATGTTATGTTTACGTTTATCCTTTTGTGATGAGGCACAATAAATGTGTATATGTCTCTTTAATTGCTGAAAAGATTTTTGGAAGTACAACTCTGAAGCTAATATTATTTGGGCAATGTGTTATTGACCTATGTTTAGGTATCGGTCTTTACTTTATAAAAAGTCACCCAAACTTATAACAAAAACTATTTTGTCTTTACCAATGAGTTAATGTGTATGGTCTATGTTATACAAATTATATACTATCTACATCTAATTTTGGTAAAAGGACGCCTTTTATCGCAAAACTTTCGAGAGTAAAATTCAACTTAAGGGCAATTTAAATATCCAATTTGATATCCTATATAAATCGTGTTCGGACTACGCAAAACATTTTGTAATATTAGCACGTTTCGAGAAAAAAAACGCGATAGACATGGCTTATACAATTTTATTATGTTGATTTTCTCGAAATCAGTTGTGATCGTATTCACTAAGTATTTGTAGATGATTCACTAACAACATTTTCTTACAGGTTCCTCGCTCGATTCAACCATTAAACAATTCATCTTGTCGTCTTGAATGGACGTGCACGCGCTAGTCAGATGCGGGTAATGTCATCCTAATGGGTACCCCATTTATACACCTGGGTGAAGAGAAGCATGGTAGATACAATGCCTTATTAGAACATAAGTGCCTCCTGTGAGAGTGCGTGCGAATTCATCTATCATCCGGGTACTGCGCTAAATATATTAAATACACTGATTTATTGTACCACATGGAAGCCTTATATAGATAATAATAGCCTATATTAAGCTGGGGTATGCAGAGGGTATGGATGAGATAAAGTTAATTGAGTTGTCGCGATTAATGTTTCTTTAGAATGGGACATATGGTTATCTCATCAAGTCGGCTATCAATTAACATAAGAAAAGGGGGACCATGGGAGACCAACGGGTACCACTTATGCATTATTTGCTATATAGAGGGCGCACGTAGCTACAAGTTGTGCAGTCCTGCTTAAAGCTTACATCTAAAATATTCAACAAAGACCCTAACTAACCAGTGCACCTTTCATTCTTGAGTTAAAAAAACACTAAAATCATCATATTTACATAGGGTATGAACAATTTAGTTAACTATATATGATACAAAATATTTAATACAAAAAGTATATTTTCAATGTTACATGATTACACATAATGCAATGATTCATACAGCAATCTTAAGTTTCCATGATCATGGAAATAAAATTAAAGATACTATTGAACACTTGGGAGCGAGGGTAAGGTATCGCCTGAAATACTTAACATGGAATTCACACATGAAATAATTTTCCTACTTACTAACTTATACAAATTCCGTACCGCCGATTAAATAAGACAACGTTTTTTTTGTTTGTTGCTACATATGCTTTTTGTCGTGTACAGACATGTTTAAATAAAATTGTTAAAAAATGAATAAACACACCTTCAATCTGAGGTTGCTGTGAAGGCCCCATGCAGAAAAAATGTAATACGGAATCATTACGTAAATTGAAAACAAATTTGAAATTACACCTTTTCTATACATATTCTGAAATTAACACTGACGTTTAAATACATGAAAGTTCACAATATTTGAATACAAAATACAAGGTTTCTGATGAAAATCGACAATGAGTTCAAGTTTGCTTCATCATTTATGCTTCTATGAAATAAAAATTTAAAAATCTATGACGTGAAATGGACGAATGCTAGTGAGAGTCAGGCATGATAATGGCGCAGCTACAGCAGGAGGGAACTTGAATCCAATCCCAGATGTATTTGGTGTAACCCTTCTGTCTGACAAAGGCCGGAACCCAACTCGTTAGCTCTAAGCAGCTTGTAGTACTGATGAACGATGATCTGTAGAGAGATTTTACAAAGAGGAAGACAAGAAGATAAGATAAAGGAGAAAAGAATAACATCAAGAAGGAATAGAAGAAGAAGAAGAAGACGAAAAAGAAGAAAAGGGAGAAAAAGGAGAAAAGGAAGAAGAAGAATGAGAAGAAGAAATAGAAGAAAAAGAAGAAACGGAAATAAAGGCGGAAGAAGAAGAATGGGAAGAAGAAATAAAGGAACAAGAAAGAGAAAGAGAAATAAGAAGAATTAAAAGAAGAATAAGAAGAAAAATGTGACGAAGAAAAAGAATGAGAGGATACAAAAATGAAGAAGAAGAGAACAGCATTATGTGTTAACAGTGGCGTACGCAGGATTTTTTCAAGGGGGGGGGGGCGGGGGGGGGGGGGGGGGGGGGGGGGGGGGGGGGGGGGGTAAGAGGACATATTTTTTTTTTTTGGTCTCGAAATTTGAAAATTTGACATTTTGCTCCGTTGGTGGGGGGGGGGGGTACGGTCACCTTTCTTAGGTCAGTCGTGGGGGTAATATTTTTTTTTTTTTTAATAATTAAAAAAAAAAAAAAAAAAAAAAAATCCAAAGGGGGGGGGGGGGGTTTAGGTATTTTTTAGGGGGGTTTATACACATAAAAATAGCAAAGGGGGGGGGGGGTTTAACCCCTCAAACACCCCCCCTGCGTACGCGCCTGTGTGTTAACAAAATGTAGAGATGTTATTCAAAACATGAGATTAAGTAAGCTCTGTTGGCAGAAATAAACCCCCAAAGCAATATATTGGGCATTTTACGTGGCGAAATGAAATATGGATTGAGGTTTATACCTTAATATTTTTTAAGTAAAATTGTCACGTTATTACCCAACACATAAAATCAAGATTATATTAAAGATTACTGTCTCTCTTTACATGATGATATTATTTGATATGGTAACATTAACATTTAGAAACTCTACCATCTCAAAATGTCGACATGTTTCATATTAAAATAAAACGTAGGTGTATACCCTTGTCAACGTCCACCTACATCCATGAAAGGGGCGATATGTTGATCCTTCACCAGAATTGCCTTTTAATTAGCTTTCATCTTCTTTTTGAGCTTGTAAGAGATTACGCATTTACATATTGAACACATTGGTATTACGAGATTAAGAACGGGGTTTAAACATACTGCCCCAGTTCCTTTGACTACAATTTAAATTATATATTTCGTTTTTCGAACCCCTGTTGAACCCAGTGGACACTTTTTTTTTTTTTTGGTCTCGAAATTTCAAAATTTGACATTTTTCTTCGTTGGGGGGGGGGGGGGGTAAGGTCACCTTTTTTAGGTTAACCGTGGGTATAAAACCCAAGGGGGGGGGGGCCTACGCAGGGGGGGGGGGGTTTCGGTTTTTTTTAGGGGGGTTTACACACATAAAAATACCAAAGGGGGGGGTTTGAACCCCAACCCCCCCCCCCCCCCCCTGCGTACGCCCCTGTGATCCACAGTCCGGTGACGTATCCACTTGACCACGACATATGTGCATGTAACAATATTAGGCTTTTCTACAGAATCATCTTGGAAAAAGTTTGATTCTTTGCATCCGGCTTACCCGACTTTTCATGAACATGGGTGCATGTTTTCACAACATTGCTTGTAACCCTACAACCCGATCCGACGCGAGGACCCGATGGAACAAGCACAATGTAACAATACTGTAAAATAATCAAAGAAAGGTGAACTTACAAATTGGAATTTCCCATATCACAGGGACCTCCCTTTGATACACATCTTCGGATAAATAACCATGATTTCGGAAAGAGTTCTACAATCGTCTCATTCTGTAGCTTCCCGTGCTCTTCTATGTCCCAATAGTTAACGCTGGCACATGTCTCTTGCCTTTGTCCATTTCGTTTACTCTGTAGAATAGAAGCAGGTAAAACAAAACAGAGTATGTTAATATATACTATTAAACAAATTGTTTCTTTTTATCATCACTTTATTGATAAAATTTACACAACAGACGAGACAGGACAAAACGAAATTAATGGCGGATGCATGCATACAAATGAAATAGTTGACAAAATACAAGACGTAGAATATTAAAAGGCATTTAAAAGAATTAATTTCAAACAAGCTTCCAGATGCCATTACTTTTCTTAATGTTGGAGGCCATGATGTTGCGCTTAGTGAAAATGTTCAGTTCTTAGGGTTAACCATGGTTGAGCATTTATCTTGGAGAAATCATTTAGATGCTGTATGCACAAAGTTGTCCCGTAGTGTAGGTGTCATTTTTAGATTAAAATTTATTTTACCTGAAAAAGTGCCGATAACATTATATAATAGTATTATTCTTCCTTATTTGATATATTGTAATGTTGCTTGGGGAAACACTTTTAAGTCATATCTTGATAAGTTGAGAGTATGGCATAAAAAGGCAATACGGCTTATTACTAATTCTTATTATAGACATCCAAGTTCTCCATTGTTCCTTCGACTAAGAATGTTACCACTATTAAAGTGGACTTGTGTCGTTCAATTGCATATTGTTTATGTTTAATCTTAAGTCTATGCCTCATGAATGTACGTTAAAAGATTTATTCCGTCAGAACTCGCAAATTCATAATTATAATACACGTCAAAGGTGTCTTATTCGTCAGCCTTTTGCAAGAACAAATGTCACTCTGACCTCTTTCCATATCTCTTGCATTAAAGAATGGAACAGCCTGCCTGATGATATAAAAAATAGTACAACTCTTTCTAGGTTTAGAAGGTTATCTAAAACGTACCTACTTGAAAGACTGACTCTGACATAGTTTTTATTTGCATCTTAGTAATTTCTTATTCTGAAATGCTTTTTGACCACTAAGGACCTACTCGTCAGTGTGTTTGCTGTGTGTGTGTGTGAGTATTTGTATGTTCTATATTCTGTAGCTTAGTATTTTCATCCATTGTATAACCATACATAACATTCTTTTTACTGTAAATATATGTATTTTGTTGACTACAGGGCCCCGCTCACAAGCTTAGCTTCTAAAGGGGTCCTAAAACCATTCAGTGTATGATGTAATCAAGTTAGAATATGTTGATTGATGTACTATTACCAGTCTCTTTTTTATGTAACAGATTATATCATGCTGTGTGTGGTTCTGAATAAAATGAACTGAACTGAACTGAACATTACGTTTATTCCGATAATAATTTGAGATATATATTTCGTTATGATATACTGCCCTGTTCGGAACAATCAAGAAAAGGAAAATTATTCAGCATGTTACTATCGGCATTGTATGTGAAATAAAGCGCCTAAGTAATTGAAAATCAACTGATTACTTTCTGCCCAGGTAGCATTCTTTTGATTGTACAGTGCCAATTCATGGTCAATTTTCCAGCAGTGCATATCCCAATATTTAATAGAGCGCTTTCGCAAAGACGACGGGAGAATTCCATGCGCGAACCAGAATTTTCTCCGTCTCGTTGATTTTCACGACCGTTGTAGTCAATAATAGCGTTCGTTTCCTAAACAGGACGGAAGAGCTGTATCGCCGTACAATAGGACATTTTCGTAATGCAGCCAAATTAAATGCACAAGTCTTTGTGATGTGACGCAATACAAATTATACATTCACCTGATAAGAATAATAGTATTTCAGTATACAGAATCCGAACTGCATACATTAACTGATCTCGGTTGAGTGAATTCTCCCGTCATCTTTGCTTCCGTCGTGTTTGCGAAATCGCCCTAATTTCCACTTCTCAGACGGAGGACTCGATGCGAGATCCAACAGCGCAGCTTTAGGGACGCAACGAAAGCATACTTCTACAGCATATCAGAGTTGGCGATAGAGGGGTAATGCTTTTATAGTACAGTATGGCTTTAAGATCAAAGGTATAACAGGATGCCTGTTTGAATAATGTTAATATGTAGAGGTGTTGTAGTCTAGTTGATAAGTCACCCGACTGCAGATCAGAAGGTACGGGGTTCAAGTCCCGCCGCAGCACTAATGTCCTTTAATCTACCTTTACCACTCCTGATATGCTTGAGCGCTAGTTACTTTGGCAGCTCGGCTACGACCAGGGTAATATGTGGCGGATGCCGGCACTTTATAAATATCTATATTATCATTAGTATTAATATAATATCTAAATGCTTTCGTCATCATACCCGGTCCCCATTTCTCTCTTGGGTATTGAGTGGCAAATAAAGATAAATGCCTTCTTCATATTTCAGCAACTACATACCATTATCTCATTTGACAGAGGCTCCAGGCTGTGGGATGAGGCACGTGGTAACGTTTCCTCATCTTCGTGACGGAATGTAGGTTTTGTTGATGAAAAGGCGATTCTTCGTTCGTGCACTGCTGGGTGTTTCGTTGATTTGTGATAGAAACCACGTAATCTCCTTGTAAGGATGTGTTTTTCATTGCTACTAAGCTCTATGTTCATGTCATCTAAGTCTGTGAAAAATTCCATTATAAGTTCTGGTGACAAAGAAGAAAGAAAACAACGATAAGAAGCTAGGGAATGGCCACAACCCCTCCTCCCCTCCAACAACAGAAAAAAAGATAAGAAGAAGAACATAGAAACAACAAGATTGAAATCGATTGAAACCAGATGTTATTAATCACATGACTATTCAGATCATCGACTATTACTATTTTGGAAGTTTGATTGTTCATAATAAATGCCATTGCAACTTCCTCCAAAATCCCAATGTTGTCAGGTCGTATAGTGTTCAATGGGCTTTAAACTATGCTATTGTCACTTAAAGACCCAGTCAGAAGTGAACAAATAAAACAGATGAATTACATAACCACGGAAAGCTTATAAGCCATATATTTTGATGATAACAATTATTTTATAAAATCTCTGAAAACCCGAAGTCTAAAGCTCGAAAATCGAACGTTGTCGGACTCAACAAAGTCCAAGGAAGATTGAAATCGATTGAAACCAGATGTTATTAATCACATGACTATTCGGATCATCGACTTTTACTATTTTGGAAGTCTGATTGTTCATAATAAATGCCATTGCAACTTCCTCCAAAATCCCAATGTTGTCAGGTCGTATAGTGTTCAGTGGGCTTTAAAGACTTCAATAACGCTTTTTTTTAAACACTCACAATGCTTTTATAATATCTTACGGTATGTCAATAGTTTTTCGTTATTGATGACGATTTTCTTTCACCAATCGTATCGCCTCTGTAAATCGTACCTAAAGTGTCACAATAATTACCTTCTAATAAAATTCGTATTGCTCCGTTGTCGTATATGCACCGTGGTTTCCTGGGTTTACTCTGAATATCTGAAAAGTGATATTTTGAAAAAAAAAGTAACATATAAATTTTACATTCAAGATTTTAGGAAGATGAATTATTATTTATTCGTTTACCCTTTATACTTGTTATATGGTCACGGTTGCGCAAAAAAATGTCCTGCTGATGACCATGTCTACTTTAATGACTCATTCTTTTCACTACATAGGTCCGTCTCATGACGTTGTTTGATGCATACATGTGTACATAAATATAGTATGTGTTTGTGGGTGAGTGTGCGCGCGCGCGTGTGTGTGTGTGTGTGCAGATATTGGTGTGACCTTTCATCGTTTCTATCTTAAGATGTGGGTCCAGTGTGGTCAGAAACGGGCGAGGGTGCACAAAGGAGATTACTGATAAGGACTGTTTTTTTCTTAATATTCTATATTCAAGTGAGGTTGATTTCCTCCTATGACGATTCGTCTTGTTTATATTAAGTTTACAATACTAAAGGAAACGAGGTGACTTGAGGACAATTTGAAAGCTAACTTTAAGCTATAAGATAATAGGATTTCCATTAATATTCATGTAATTGTAATGCTCAAAGTTGAATGGGAAACAGGTTATCGAAGAAAGGGATTTGCGCGGAAATTAGAAACTGCAGGAGTCCTTTTGTCAATTTGATACATACCTTCTTTATTGGAGGACGCTTGGAAATTTGACAGGCGAGATGGAGATGGAGATGGAAATTTGTCTTCCCCTGCTTAGGAAAAACGAGAATAATTAGCTATTGAGGGATACATAAAATGTGGGAGTTGGGGAGCAGGTGAGATTAGAATACAAAGTGTATGCGTGGGTGAAATGAGAGAGAAAGAGGAAAGCAGAAAGAGATGGATAGAAACAAATAAGAAGGAATGCCGAGATAGAGATGGTGGACAAAGGAAGGAGGAAAGATGTCAAGGAGAGAACGGGAAGAGGCGGTGACAAATCATTGGTTTTTCAGTAATCTTTCGACCATGTAGTTTTGTTTAACCTTTAAAAATGTTTTATTTGAATAACTTAATTTGAGTAATGAAAACGATTTATCTTAATTTGAAGCATCCATTTACCTTTCTAGTCCACACCTTCGTAATCAGATTTTTTTTGTTAAACTACACTCTATCTTTCCTTTTTTTTCAAGCGGCAAAAAGCTTGTGTGCAATTACAGACCCTCCCACATATGTTATAACACATGATTACTGCAATACTATGAATAACATAAATCTATAAATTATGTTAGAACTATTTCGATTACAGCAGAAGCCATACATAAAACAATATCCTTTTAAAAAGGTAATCGACTGCTTTTAGAAGCTTATTATAAAAAGAATAATGTATTTTTCCCCACCTTCTCTGCGTGTTGTTGATCTACTGGAGGATTCTGGGTCAACTTGTTGACCTGGTGATGGAGAAAAAAAGAAATTGAACCTGAAATATATCATCGGAATATTGAAAATGTGAAAATGACATGCAGAGACAAAGATCATTGCACCAAAGATCATCGAGACACCGAAACATTTTTATTTTCCTCATTCAACTTGTTTCAATTTCATTTCCTTAATATGACAAATAATTTGCACGCGCTATGATACAATTTATTGTGGACTCAATATTTTTTTCATTATTATTATGTTTTATTATTTTGAAAATTGTTATTGTTGTTAATGCTATCAATATATTTTGTGTTATTATTAGTAGTATTATTGGTATTATTATAATCATCAATAATATTATCAATAGTAGAAGTATTAATAGTAGAACTAACTTTGTTTTCCACATTTTTATCAACACAATTGTGATTATTATTACTTAACTCATAGCCTGCCATAAGGCTGCATGCACGCTATTGTTATATTGCTTTGTACACGCGAGCAAGCTACTATTACTCTCCTTCTTGCATGATTGCACGCATTTGTAATATCAGTTACTGTTCATGCCCATTGGACTGTGCCTAGTGTTTTGCACGCGATATTGGTAGTACCATCGCGTTAATCCGATTATCTCGTTATAATTGTATAACAGTTATTACTGAAAAGGCGAAGCACAATAAATCTAACTGTAGCATGACTGCTTTCCAACGTCATCGATGATCCAATATATCCCATGCAGACGAGAGAAGACAAGAAAGGTGAGACGACACATTTCTAAGACGATCTGTGACTACTCGTAATTATGATTGGTTTGGTTAATACAGAAACTATAATGAGTATATCAAATGAAGAACAACTGCGCAGAATGTCTATTTCCAGATTCATTTGATTAAATATTAAATTATAACATGAATAGATTTTGAAAATGTTCTCGTAGCAGATACCGGTACAGTACTCGTGGTAAGCTTTTCATAAAGTCTGCAATTTACTCCACTCAAAAAGAAGATAATAGAACAGCTGATAACATGCGATTTGCACAAAAGACGAATTATGGCCTAGTAATGAAATACTAAGTGTTAAAGACCGTCAATACTGCTGGACCAGAAGAGATTAGACCACACAGCAAGGTCACTGACAGGTGGCTATCTCATTAATTCAGCTCTCAACTAACATAAGAAAAAGAGGATCATGGGTGACCAACAGGCACCGATCGGGGAAGTTTTCTATATAGAGGTAGCAAGTAGCTACAAGTAGGACAGTGGGGCTTTTAAATAAAATACACATATATTTTTTAATTTTTTAATTTAGTAATAAGTTTTTGACAACGCCCACTTTCATGCTTTAAGAACATGGCAGAGATATAGCATACGTTCAAAGGTATCAGTCACACCGACAAACACACTCCAAGCCGATTTTGAAACGACAGAATCCATTCAGAGTAATTTTTTGCTCGGTCTGTTGTCAGTTTGTTGTCAGTCTCGTTTGTGTGTCCCGGGTATTTCCCTCTTTCATGCGGCCATTTGCGATCACTTAAATCCGTTTTCATTAGAATTTTGAATTAAATTATCGCCAAATGGGATATTGGAAGAGAGTGCGGATAGCCGTCGACTTAAGTATTTTGTTGCTTCCTCTGCTTTTCTCCCTCTGGCTGTCCAATCACATCTATATCTCACCGTTCATGAGAAGAAAAATAAAGATAGTTCCCTCTTCTTATTAATATGATCACATCTGTGAATGAGTCAATCTGAATTTGTAATGAAAGCGTGCCTACTAGAAAACTGATAATTATCATGTTTGCTTTTTTCATGATTGATAATATGATTATAATTGTTATCATCATTAGTATAAGTATTATTATTTGTTCTTATATTATTATCATTGTTATTTTTATAATTATAAAATTATTATTTTCATCATTGCGGTTATTATTATTAATAGTATTGTTATTATCATATTATTATTGGCATTATTGTTATCATTTTTATCATCATTGTTGTTATGATTATAATTATTATTATGATTAATATTGATATCAACTAATTCCTTTATTATTGATTTACTATTTGATATTAGTTGTTTCGTAACTGTTAGGAAGGGCCCTCTTAAAAAAACATTCTGAACTCGGGCATTTCATGTCAATTTAGGGTGGCCTTTAAAAATATGTTTTCTGATCAAATTGATATACATTTATCAACAACATATTTATTTATAGTGCTATTAAAGCAAATAAACGCACTGTTCGCACCCCAGCATTAACATGTATTTGGTTTTTTCCACAATGTTCATCTTTGCCTATTAAAAATGGAAGAAACATCTAAATACGATGTTCACAGATGCACGTATTCCTCTTTTTTTTTTTACCTCTTCAAAGTTCAACGATCGAAGCAAAATATGTCTATATGTCAAGATAAAGTATGTACTCCCTTGCCCTCCCAGGGTGATGCTCTTTAAGTCGACCATGGTTGATGTGACAAATTTCTATTTTTATCTCGTTTTCTACTTTGGCTACATAATTGAAATTATCGACACAAGCTGTATATACTCGTAACTCGTGCGCAGCAGGATTTGATGACGAAGATATGTTTATGACTGTCTGGCTCTCTTCGATTCACATATTTCTGGAAAATGCTTTTTAATTCGGCCTTCATTGGTGTAACTAATTCCTATTTTTATCTCGATTTCTACTTTGGTTACATAATTTAAATTGTCTGCGTAATCGTATAGACTTATTTTTCTTGCGCAGCAGAATGTGTTGACGAAAATATGCTTATGAAATCTTCTCTTTCATGTCACATATGTCACATGTGCTTTCCCTCCTTCTATTTGTTATAATTCAATATTAAGACGTAATTCTCTGAAAGCACCGTCGTGGTCATGATGAAAGTAGAATTAGTACATCATGGATCAATATTCATACCCACCCTTCGCTTCACACCCCTGCATTGGCGTGGCGTCGGTCGCGATGTGGGGGTGGTGGGTGTTGTCTAGCGAAATGTAGTGGCACTAAAAGAAGGAAATACGGAAATAGGATGTCCGTTCACGCATAACAATTGCGATTTGGATCTCGGTGCAAAGTTCGTTTTTTTTTGCGACCGTTAACACATGTCAATTTAGTGCGAATTGGATCGCGATGCAAAGACTGATTATTTTGGGGCGACCATTCACACACAGGACGAACTCTCGCTCGATAGGAATGTAAATTGTCACAAAGCAATGAAATGGCTCTATATACCATTACAGACATTTAAGTGTTCACAGATTGTTAAAAGGCTGTCTTATGTCTTATTTTCATGGAAAAATGTTTGGGAGAATTTACTATTGCAGGGTGTCGCGCAGTTACGCTTTCAAAGAAAACTATAAATATTTTTGTGGTTTAAAAACTTTTTCATGATTTTGTTCGAGTTAGAGGGTTAGTACAGTAGAAGGAATATAATAAGTAACATTTCATACACAACTTACGCAGTTTTTGCATTAACGTTCATCAATGTTACCGAGTCACTTTAAAGATAAACTTTGGTATAATAGGATCGTATTTTGAGAGAACATTGCTATGAACTATTCTGGATTGTTTCAGTTTCAGTTTCAGCTTCATTTTTATTTTTCATTTCCAACAGAACAGTAATTATGACAAGAAATCAGATATGCAATTATATATTCAATATTATAACACATTGTACATGGTTTAAAGTTGTGAAATAGAAAGTATACATAATTATCCAATATAATGGGTTTTTGAAATTGTTTTAAAAATATAAATCCGTGGAAATGGAGGGATCCACTGAAAAGCAGAGCTTGTAAAATGTGGATCCCTCAAAAATAATGACAATTTTTGTAACATGTAAATATATCGACTTTAAGAAACATATATATACATAGATTACCCCAAAAAGTGGCCGAATAATAATACAATTATAAATCCGTAATTTGAAAACTTGTTACGATAAAGTATACTGAGCACTAGAAAGGTCAAAAGAGACAATGACGACTGACAGATAAGACATTAATATTAATAATTTTAAAAGAATATATAACACAACAGAAAATAAAGCAAAATAGAGAGAAATAGAAGAATAGAAAATGTTGCTGCGTATGTGATGGGTAAAGAATAGTAGATTGGTTGTTTGAACCAGTGAAATGAAAACAAACGCACACAAACTTCATGGGCATCATCTTCGATAAACAAAAAGCCACAGCTCCCATTTGCACATGGTGTCGGGCCTACTCACCCGGATTTCGTCACTTGTCTTTGCTAATTACTCAGCCACTATACATTTTCTACCAACAATGTCGTTAGATTCTGTGAGAATTAAATTTTTATATTTACCTGAACTCAAGTTTAACTTTAAAGGCATCGTTTAACAATGTTCAATCTGAGATGCATGGCCCAACGTGATATCAGTGTCTGTGATATAGTGTAATATTGAAGCCCTTAACAAAATTAGGCTTCTAAATATTCATGAAGTGCCTCAAGAAAGTAACAATCTATGAGTGACCGGTTTTACTATACTTATTTTCCCCATTAGACTGTAGTGTTATAAAAACCTTAAGGAAAACGAAAAATTAAATTTCGATTTCCAATCATAAATATCTTGATAATCAGACGGGCGATCGGCTTGTAAACGTCATTGTGTTCCTGACTGACCTAAAGGTTTGTAATTATCATTGTAGCGTGAGCTAAATCCAGAATTTCGTTTCAGCATCTGAGACAATGTTACCGAGCCACTTAAATGTGTGAGGAAACAGGAAATTTCAAGGTGTCAATCTGCTCATCATAGCTCTCCTGTTTCAGTTCCCTATCGCCCTCTTTCGTTGTAGAAATAACGTCTTCTGACAATAGGCTTTTTTACTACAAGAAATCTGCACTGAGAACTTATTGCAACTTAAGCACATCAGCACAGAAATGAAACCATTCAAAATCTACTACGTGCGTATTTTTGCAAATGGTGTGATTGGGGGTAGGGAGTAGAGGAGCACCCACCCCAGGCCCTGGGGAGGTGTGTCCGTAATAAGGTCCTAAATGCACGGAGGG